CAGCACCTCGGCGTCCAGGAACAGGGAGATCTCGTCCACGGCGGCGATCATGGACAGCGGCAGGTCCTGCGTGTGGATCTGGCGCTGCACGAACTCGATGAAGGAGCCGGCGCTGTCCTCCACGCCCTTGGGCAGCGGCTGGGCCACGGCCCGGCGCGTGTGGGTGCTCAGGTGGTGCCTCAGCATGAACCTCACGGCCCACTCGTAGGAGATCTTGAAGCCCCCGTCCAGCGAGCGCCCGATCTTGGTGGCCTTCTGGAAGAGGGTCTCCTCGTTGACGGGCAGCTGCTGCTCCCGCTGGGTCAGCACCCACTCCGCCAGCTTCTCCTCGGCCTCCAGGCTCAGGTACTTCCCCTCCAGGTTCTCCTCCTGCGACGCCTGCGGGGGCAGAGGGAAAGATTCCTGCCTTGGAGTGGGAAAGGCAGCAAAAAAAACCTCAGGGAACCAAAAAGGAAGGGTTTGGTCGGCGTGTAGGGTGCGGCCTCAGGCTGAGCTCTTCGGGGGGAAAAGACAGTTCCCTGTGGAATGGGATGGGATGGAGAGGACACTTCCCTGTGGAATGGGATGAAGAGGACATTTCCCTTTGGAATGGGATGGGGTGGGATGGATGGGATGGGATGGGATGAAGAGAACATTTCCCTGTGGAATGGGATGAAGAGGACATTTCCCTGTGGAATGGAATGGGATGAAGAGGACACTTCCCTGTGGAATGGGATGGGATGAAGAGGACATTTCCCTGTGGGATGGGATGGGATGAGGAGGACACTTCCCTGTGGAATGGGATGGGATAGGAGGACACTTCCCTTTGGGATGGGATGGGATGAAGAGGACACTTCCCTGTGGAATGGGATGGAGAGGACATTTCCCTTTGGGATGGGATGAAGAGGACATTTCCCTGTGGGATGGGCTGGGCTGGGAGGACATTTCCCTGTGGAATGGGATGGGATGAGGACATTTCCCTGTGGAATGGGCTGGGCTGGGAGGACATTTCCCTGTGGAATGGGATGGGATGAGGACATTTCCCTGTGGAATGGGCTGGGCTGGGAGGCCATTCCCCCCCTCCTACCTGGACCCTGCGGAGCCAGCGGCGGATGCGGCGCGGGGGGTTCCTGAAGTGCTCGGCCGCCTGCTCGGTGTCGGAGCAGAGGGCGAAAAGCACCACCCGCAG